TACTTGTATGTTGTTTTTGTTCTTCTCTGTTCTTTTCTTCTGCTTTTAATTTCTTCCCCTGTGGTTTGATGGTTGTGTGTGTGTGTGTGTGTGTGTGTGTGTGTGGTATGCTTGTGTTCCTTTCTCTCTAGTTTTTGTGTACCTATTGCCTATTGTATGGTTTTGATTTGTGGTTAACATGGAGTTTATATATGTTGACCTATAACTATGTCTTTTTCTTCCAAAGCAGTAGTCATTTAAGTTTAAACACATTCTAAAAGATCTACATCTTTTACTCCCCTCCCCCATGTTTTTTGTTTTTGATGTCATATTTTACATCTGCATATTTATCCCTTAACTGTTTATTGTAGTTGACTTTGCAATTTTTGTCTTTTAATCTTCACATTAGCTTATTTAAATGGTTGATCCACAGTCTTTACTATATATTTGCCTTTACTAGTGGGATTTTTCCTTTCCTATAAATTCCTACTTGTTGTAGCCATTTCTTTTCCATTTAGGGAAGATGCTTTAACATTTCTTTTAGGGTCAATTTAGTTAGTATTGATGAACTCTTTTAATTTTTGCTTGTCTGAGAAATTTTTTTCACTACTTCATTTATGAATGATAATCTTGTGGGACAGAGTATCTCAGGTTGTAGGTTTCCCCTTTCAGCACTTTAAATATATCATGCCACTCCCTTCTGGCCTGCAAAATCTGTAGAATAATAAGCTGATAGCCTTATGGGCATTCCCTTGTATGTGACTCTTTGTTTTTCATTTGCTGCCTTTAGAATTCTCTCTTTATCTTTAACTTTTTCCATTTTAATTATGATATCTCTTGGTGTGGGTCTCTTCAGTTCATTTTGTTTGGGACCCTCTGTGTTTCCTGTATCTGGATGTCTGTTTCCTTCTTTAGGCTTGAAAATTTTTTAGCCATAATTTCATCAAACACATTTTCAACTCCTTTATTGCTCCTTCTTGAACCCCTATAATGCAAATGTTAGTATGCTTGATGTTGCCTCAGTGATCCCTTAAACTATCCTTACCTTTTTTTTTTTTTTTTGTGGTACGCGGGCCTCTCACTGCTGTGGCCTCTCCCACTGCGGAGCACAGGCTCTGGACGTGCAGGCCCAGCGGCCATGGCTCACGGGCCCAGCTGCTCCACGGCATGTGGGATCCTCCCGGACAGGGACACGAACCCGCATCCCCTGCATCTGCAGGCGGACTCTCAACCACTGCGCCACCAGGGAAGCCCTATCCTTACCTTTTAAAATTTATTTTTCTTTTTGCTGTTATGATTGGGTGATTTCCATTATTCTATCTTACAGATTGCTTATGCATTCTTCTGCATCACCTAGTCTGCTGTTAAATCCTTCTAGTATGTTTTTCATTCCAGTTATTATATTCTTTTTCTCTGACTGGTTCTTTTTTATATTTTCTAGTTCCCTGTTAAAATTCTCACTGTGTTCATCTATTCTCTTCCCAAGTTCAGTTAGCATTCTTATTACTAATGCTTTGAACTCTTTATCTGGCAAATTATTTATCTCTGTTTCATTAGTTGTTTTTTCAGGGCTTTGTTTCTTGTTCTTTTGCTTGAAACAAATTCCTTTGTCTTCTCATTTTGCTTAACTTTCTTTGTCTTTACAAAATTAGGTGAAACGTTTACCTATTTCAGTCTTGCAGGGATGTCCTGTGTGAAAGCATCCCCATGCAGTCTTCACATGCTCAGTGGCTTTCTTGGGATTGCTAATCTGAAGTGAGCACAGGTCACATCTTCCCTTTGGGTGTGCTGGCAGCTACCACCTTGCTGGGAGGCAGGAGTGGAGGTGGAGGGGCTAGAGCCGGAGCCAGGTGTGAGCCTGGGTTTCTTCTATGCTCAGTGGCTGTCATCACCCTATGGGAGTAGGTTTGGGGCCCAAGATGCTGGAGCTGAAGTCCCATGTGTCGATTGGAGCTGGTTCCATTCCCTGTAAGTGTGCACTCTCCCCTGCCCTCAGTGTTGGCACCTCCATTCCAGTGGAAGGGAACATAGGAGGAAGAGGGGCTTGAGCAGCCCCCAGTGGGGCTGGGTTATGCCCTGGTATGGTCCCAGCAAGCCAGTCAGAGCCCCAGGCCATTTCTGACCCGCTGCCTTCATGTGCTCACCAGAAACATCCTCCCTTGCCCTGTTTAGAAGCAGGGCCTGGCCCTAGCTGGCTCTGCTTCCTCCAAATGTGTGTACCTTCACCCTAGTGGAGAGCAGCTCTGGAGCAAGAGGAGCTGGAGCAACTGCCTGCCGTGGGCCAGGGTGCCTACTGGGTTGGTTCCCATACAGGAGTCAGAGCCCCAGTCTGCTCCCAAACTGCTTCCTCTCCACACACCAGCAGTGGCTGCCCTCACCCTGTTCAGATTCAGGGCTGGTTGCACACCAGCTGCATCACCTCCAAGTATGTTATTCCTTAGTAGTGGCAGCCTTTGCCCTAGTGGAGAGATGTGCTGGAGCAAGAGGGGCTGCAGCAGTCTCCAGATGCAGGCTGGGGTGCACTGGGGCAGTAGTGGGAAACTGGCCTGAGCCCTGAGGCGTTTTCAGCCTACTTTCTCCACCTTGTTCCTGGGAGTAAGGAAGCATGCGTGAGTGGAGTCTCAGTTTCTTTCAACTCTCTGGTACATCCCACTGGTTTTTAAACCTGCTCAGGGGACTCATCTACCTGATGTCCAACCCAATGGCTGGGGTGCCCAATATGTAGTTCAAACACCTCAGTCCCCAGGGAGGATCTCCCAACCTGTGATATCTCCTTCCTCTTGTCTGTTTCCTGCTACAAGAACTGGTCCCAGCCTGATCCCGTCTCCTCCCTTCCTACCTGACTCCATGTGGGTCTTTCTTTATAGCCTTGGTTGTAAAAGAGCCTTTCTGCCAGTCTCTAGTTTGTTTTCAGCTAGAATTGCCCCACACATAGATCTGTTTTTGATGCATTCATTGGGGGAGGTGAGCCCAATGTCCTTCTACTCCACCATCTTGATTTCTCCATTTCTTTATTAAATGCATTTAGTTCGTGAATTGTTTTCCTGATTTTGCTTAGTTGTGTATCTGTGTTTCCTTGCATTTCATACAGTTTAAGATGATGATTTTACATTCTTTGTCAGGGAAATCATAAATTTCCATTTCTTTGGGGTCAGTTGCTGGAGCTCTATTGCTTTCCTTTGGTGGTGTCATATTTGCATAATTCTTTGTTGTCTATGTAGCCTTATATTAGTGTCTGTGCATTTGTGAAGCAAGCACCTCTTCCAGTCTTTACAGACTGGTTTCAGAAGATAAAGACGTTCTGTTTGTTTCCCGAGCTGATAGGATTACTTCCATAATTGCAGTTGTGCTGCATTGGAGCCAGTTGTGAGGCTTTTTCTGGGTCTGCAGTAGCATCTATGATTTGTGGGCTTGATACTGGGTCTTATGCTGATGTGGATCCCTTCCAGTCCCCAGGTAGATGTGACTACCTGCAGTACCTTGTTCAGTAGGGTGGGACTGGGACAAGGGTCTGCTTTGGGGTCCACGTATGGGTCCCCAGATAACAAGCCTATTACCAGGTAAATGGTGGGTGTGGCTCCTGCCAGATCTTGGGTGGACTGCTGCCTGGTCACTGGATGAGTCCCTGGATGGACAGGACTGACCCTGGACTGTGGCTGAGAGGTGCTGGAACTGAGCCTCAGTGCTGTTTCAGATTCCACAGCCAAGATTTGCTCTGCAGTCATGGATGGGTATGTCTCCCTCCAGATCACTGGATGGGCTGAATTGGTCCCTGACTGTGGCCAGAGGGGCTGGAGTTGAGTATAGGGGCCTTTCAGGATCTCTTGGAGTGCAGTTATGTTTTCTGACAGGTCCCTGTACCAGGACTGCTTGTGGATTGTGGTTGGGAGTATTAGGCCCTTTCAGGATCTCTGGGAGTGCATACAGGAGTGTGTCCTGTTGGGTACCTGTGGCAGCAGAACTGTTCACAGCCTCCAGTTGGGAGGGGCTAGGGCTCAGTGTAGGGCCCTTTCAGATCTCCAAGGTTGCAGCCAGGTGTGTTTCCTACTGAGAACTTGGACCCTCAGGACTGCTGTAGACTGGCAGACTGTAGTTATGAGGAAGCTGGAGTCACATACAGGGCCTTTTCAGGAACTCCAGGGGACAGAGACAGGAGTGTCTCTTGCCTGGTCTTTGTGCAAGTAGAAATTCTAGAAGACTGTGGCAGTGAGGGGGCTTGAGCTGAGTATAAACCCCTTTTAGTATCTTAGAGGGTACAGACAAGCGTGTTTCCTATAGGGTTCCTTTGCCAGCATGATTGTTCCTAGACTGTGGCTGGGACTTGCTGGAGCCCTGTTACAGGCCATTTCAGAATCCACAGTCTGACGGACTGTACCTTACTTCCAGGGGCTTACCTTCAGGGGTTCCCACACTGCAGCCTAGTGAGGCTGGAGCTGGTTCAAAGGTCACTTCCTGTTCTACAGCCAGGAACAAGTTCTTTAAGTTCTTTATTATGCCTATTACCTGATACATGAATGAGTGTGACTCCTTTGGGTCCCTTGACATGTGGCATATACTGGTGACAGACCCAGAGCCAAATGGAGCTGTAGCTAAGTTCTCAGGGGTACAGAGCTATTTCTGTTTCTATAGCTGAGACCACAGTCAGTGAGTCAGCTAAGTGCAAGCCTGTCTCCTCAAAATGGCTCTCTTCATTCTTGGACTGCACCAGGGTTTCACAATCTCCAACCTGGATCCTGAAGCTCCTGTGAAGACACTTTTGTCTGTGAGTGTAGATGCAAAATTATTGTTTTTGAGGGGGGTTGGTTATGTACGAGGGACATTTTATCCAGCCATTTTTCTGACAAGCAATGCTATATAATGTAATTTCCATCAACTAAGACCAAGATTTTTCAACTCTTTATTTACAAAAATAAAGATAACTAGTAAGCCAAATGTCAGTTGCTAAGTAAGTTAGTTTTTTCTTTACACATTAGTATTAATGCTAATTAAAATGTTAGAATCCTTGACTTTTATTATTTTAGACTTGGGAGACCTGGCGTTGATTGTTATTGTCAACATGAAGGTGGTGCAGCTGTTCTGCAGCTCCAATTCTTGATCAATGAGGTAAGGATTTTCTTAGATATTTCTATCTCACACACACATTGTGTAATCTTTTTAATATTATTTTTTTACATGCTTAAAGATATATACGTATTCAATATTGTTCATGGTCACATTTTTCATAAAAGACTGTACTCCTGTATTTGTCAGTTTATTAAATTTTAAAGGAAAAATTTTGTATGTACCAGAAGATCCTGTTATTGTGATTGTGTAGTATAATTTATAGACTAATTGTTTGAATGGTTTTTAAAAAATTACTAAAGTCCTTTGATTGCTACACTGACTATTAATCTCTCCCTCTACACACTCTCCTCCCACCAATTTGTTTTCTAATCCAGCATTAATTTTCATGTTTTGTCTTTATCTTCCATTAAATAATCTTTTCAGTTATTTACTTTGGGCTTCTTTGTCTGTATATATCTCCATATTCATTTGTTGGTATACATATGCATAGCTTTATAACAATTGGCAGCCTACCCTACTCCTATTTTTATAGACCTATGGTGATGAGGAACTCCCTAAAGACAAAGTTTGTAAAGCTCAGAAAGTTTGCAGATCTTCCAGTAGATGAAGGCTACTTAAGGCCTTCTTGACTCAAATTTTTACAATGGATCCTTGAGTCTTTTGAACTCTTTTATGTTAAGTGATTCAGTCAATGCAAAAATGTTTTAGGAGTTTATGCCATACCAAATTTGGGCACTTAGGAGATTGAACTCAGTGTGTCGAAAGAAAAAAAAAAGAGGTATCACTGGTTGTTTCTTGTGGCATGAATGATGATCTTTTATTCAGTATCTCTATATATTTGCATATATATATTCTAAGAGCTTTTACTCATAAACATGGGTGAAATGTTTCATATAACTTTATACCAGAGATACCTGAGGCATGAAAAATTTGTGATACTGGGAAATGTCCACTTTTTACTTCTCTTAGCTCAAAAATCTTTCTCATAAGGCTGTGAGATTCTCCTTTTTGACCAGCCTAGCATATTTCATGTTGTAGGCATACTTGCTGTGGGGTACCAAAACGAGAGAGGGAAATAAGGAAGATCAGGGGAAACATTAAAAAAATATTTTATCGTAATAACTAGTCTTTAGTATCTAGACTGACAACCTTTTTGAAGTCTCAGTGTTACTCTATAGCTCCTAGATGAGAGATCTCAGCCTTTTGCCTTCTGCATGGATGTTTACTGGCAGGCATAAATTGTTTCCAGGTGATTTTCTCTGTGTCCTGTCCTCTGAGAATTGTCTTCAAGGCCATAAGTTTGCCTCTGTGCTGTTACATAACTAAGAAGAAATAAAGGCAAGCCTTCAACATCTTTCCAGTGTTTACATTGTCTGTCCTAAACTGCTCACCTTGATCTGCCTTATACTCAACTTCTGTACCTTTTTCCAAACTTCCCAGCTTCTGACCTCTTGACCTGTGTTTTTATTTCAGTTTTTAATCTTTTCACAGATCTTCATTAGTAGCACTTTTTATGGATTTGCTTTTGTAAATGAGCCCTAGACACCCTGCCAATGTGCTTACTTTCATGTGTCTTATGTTTCTGTTGGTGTTGTTCAGTGGTTCTGTTCACCTCCCTCAAATGCTAAGTTATCTCCTAGTTTTATCATAGAATTATTAATACTGACTTCCTTCCTAGATTTATTCAGCTATTACACTAAGATATTATTGAATATCTGCTGATTTATTTTACTTTCATTGCCTTTGGCATATTATATCTTTTGTATAACACATAACTATTTACTGTAGAGAATGTTTTATTAATTTCATATATCATAGTCTATCTTCACCCTATCCCAAATGAGTTTCCACTTTCCTGAGAAATGAGATCACTATTCTACATCTCAAAAAAAAAAAATTGTAGTTCATCAAGTACTTCCAAGCAGTCCTAATAATTTTCTAATTTGAATATGTAGAACACTTGAGAACAGTTTACAAAAAAAGCAAACACAAAAATCCTCAAGGCACGTGTAGGATACATTTTATTGCATGAATGTAATTATCTATGAGTTCATTTAAAAATGTATATATCAATGTATACCTCTTTGAATATGTGTATTTACATATTTATATACAAATATGCAATTTGTACACATTTTAAAACGTTTGAATGGTTATAATCTCTGATTATGATTATTGTTTTAACAGTTATTTTTCTTTGAGACCAAAATCATAGGTATATAATATCGAGAACCATCATAGGCTACATGAGCATATGTTTGTTGTAGGAATTGTTCTGCAAGAGCATTTAGATTCCTATATTCTTCTCTCCTCTAATTCCTAAAGAAGAAGTAAATTCTAGGAATTTCAGTATAGTTCTTCCTAACATCTACATGTTTTATCATTTTTATATCTGTGATTGATTTAATAAATTGTGAAAGGTTACTTGTAACCGAGTACTTTGTAAAGTATGAAAAGAATTTTAGGTATCTCAGGACTACCATAATTGTGCAAGATCACTTTTACAGAACACATTCAATACTCTAGAGTAGCTTCAGGCTGTGACAGGGCAAGCATTGATGTTTTTTTGCTGGGAAACTCAATGGCAAAAGTTCTGACATAGTTTAAGATGATCTTACTTAACTCAGTAAAATAAATAGTTTAAAATAGTTTAAGATGATCTTACTTAACTCAGTAAAATAAATAGTTTAAAATATGTATATGAAGTCATACATGGCAGCTAATTTTCTGCCCATATGGTGTCTGCCATACTAATAGGTAGAACCCATCCTATTGTATTTGAAGTAGGATCCATTTTTATTTGGAGGCTTTGTATAAAAAGGATCTTAGTATTATTTTTGTAGTTATACTGAATTCTAGTTGGAGAAATGTTTTCTTTTATTACAGATGTTTTCTTTTGTCATAGATGAAGCTTCTTGAAGAAAGAAAACAAATTAAATTATATCAAATATACTATATAGGAAGACTATATACTTCTTAACTATACAGAAAATTTTAAGGAAGACTATATACTTCTTTTAGGAAGACTATATACTTCTTAACTATACAGAAAATTTTTACAAACAGTGTATTTTTATATGACCAGATTGCAATTTAAAACTGGGTTGGATATTTGCTTTTCTGTAGAGCTACATAGTATATGTATAAATAGTAAAAACAACAAAAAAATTAAACTTAGTTTTTCCCGAAGAAAATATAAGAAATCTTTAATAGTCACAATGATTCTTATAATAATAATCCCTCTATTGATAAATGCATATTCCTTGAACTAATCATTCTCACCAATCCATATATAGTAGTTTACCTGCTTCTTCTACTGTTAGCATTCTTAGGCTTCCTGACTGAAGTATGTGCATTGTCCTTCCTTGTATTTCTACATTATATAAATACAAATAACATTAAAAGCAGTGAAAAATTTAGTAAATTAGCTTGTTTTGCTTCACAAAAAAACCCCCATAAATTAAGTAAATCGCTCACTTTGTCTTCATTTTGTTCCAGGGTGCTTTGGTCAGTGCAGGTTCAGATGATACACTTCATTTGTGGAACCTTAGACAAAAAAGGCCAGCTGTTCTTCATTCTCTTAAATTTAACAGAGAACGGTAAGAATGTAAGAGTTAAACAATTTCTTAATGTGTAAAAAACTTATTTCCTGATCAAGTTTCAGGTTAATTTTTGAAAGAATTAAAAAAATAATATTAATAGCTAGAAATAATATTTATGCTTACTTTTATAATAGTTTATTTTTATAGAAAATTCATAATTGATATAGATTCAGTCCTTTTCTAATGGGAACTCCTAGCATTCTTGTTCTCCTTGCTATAAACTAGGACTTCACCAATGATGTGTTCTTTTCCTTAGGTCAAGGTGCTGAAAAGCCAGACCTAAAATTTAAAAGTCAAGTAAATACTAAATGTATTTCTACACCTTTTGATCATGGAAGTTACCTCTTACACTTTCACCCTTTTGCTTAAATATTTTTTATCTTAAAAAAATATGAGACAGAGGTTTTAGACATCCAAAAACGTTGGTACTAAGTGTTGCGCAACATTGCACATCCAAGATTGATATTTTCAAAGATGGTGAATTGATCAGAATTCAAATTCTCCCATTTTAGAATGAAATAATAATTAGAAAAAGAAAATTTTATGAATGGATATGGAAAATGTTATTAGATTTTATTTGTAACAAATTGTCCCAAACTTTAATGTTTCTAGTGTTGGTTTCAACCAGAGCTAGAATATAACAGATATCTACTTAGCTGATAATCCACCTTGAGATGAAGTAAAATTTGTATTTTATTATCTGTATCTGTTATTTAACTATTAAATAATCTGATATTTGTTTATTATTTGGGAAACAGTCAAACTTTTTGGTGTGATTGAGAAGGGCTATCACAGGAAAAATTGATATTAATGAAAGAAAAAGAAACCTCTGAGAAGTAAATTTACACAGATTAGCAAGTACTAGTCAAAACTGAGTTAGGTAGATAATAGAGACAGGCAGCCACTGCTGAGAGCTCAAGAAAGTGCTTTTTGTATTTTGTTGAATGGTAATATAGTTCATAAGGAATCATCACTGTATGGGCAGAGCTTAATGAAGTAAACCTGTTTTTATAGGTTTGATGAGAAAAAAGGATGGCAGCTATACAGGCATTCTTCCTTTTTCTATCTGGAGCTTTTTCTTTTTCTTCTTATATGCGTACTGTAATATTTGAATCATTAACCTTCAATATTCTGAGTAGTATTCATGAGTATTATGTCCACAGTATTTTGGGATTCAGCATCAATGGAAGTTTTTGTTAATCCGGTATTTTTCTGAGAGGAGGAAATTTATATTTTAGCTATTTGCTAAAACTAGATGGGACTTCTTTCTTTATATTAGATCTAATTTTGGTTATTTTTTCTTAAATTTTAAAATAAGTAATGTAGCAAATATTTCAGGATATGAAAAGTTGAAAGATCAGTCAAGAGTTGTTACACTGTTCCTTGTACCTTTACCACTAAAAATATTACCTACCTCAGATATTGCCATACTGATTTTATCTCTTTCTCTACTTGTAAGATTTTTTGTTTGTCAATGTTTTGAGTAGATCTGGCCCTACCCTTTTGTGTAGATAGGCAGAATGAGTTTTTTTCCCCTCACAATTGGAATGTTGAAGGAAATGTTCTGACCTCTTTTATAGCCATTTTGGGGAGAAGAAATGATTGATGGTGATGATTTCCAGTTATAATTTTATTAACTCATTTGAGGTATATTTAACTGGTAGGAACGTAAAAGACCAAGCTGACAGATTTTGGACAAGTTTAAATCTTAGGAACTTTTCAGGCACTGCCTATTTTTTTAAATTAATTTTTATTGGAGTATAGTTGCTTTACAATGTTTTGTTAGTTTCTTCTGTACAGGAAAGTGAATCAGTCATACGTATACATATATCCCCTCTTTTTTAGATTTCTTTCCCATTTAGGTCACCACAGAGCATTGAGTAGAGTTCCCTGTGCTATACAGTAGGTTCTCATTAGTTACCTATTTTATACATAGTAGTGTATATATGTCAGTCCCAATCTCCTACTTCATCCCACCCACCCTCCTTGGTATCCATAAGTTTGTTCTCTACATCTGTGTCTCTATTTCTGCTTTGCAAATAAGTTCATCTATACCATTTTTTTAAGTTTAGTTTGTTCTCTACATCTGTGTCTCTATTTCTGCTTTGCAAATAAGTTCATCTATACCATTTTTCTAGATTCCACATGTAAGTGATATTATACGGTGTTTGTTTTTCTCCGGACTTATTTCACTCTGTATGACAGTCTCTGGGTCTGTCCACATCTCTGCAAATGGCACTATTTCAGTCCTTTTATGGCTGAGTAATATTCCACTGTATATATGTAGCACATCTTCTTTATTCATTCTTCTGTTGATGGACATTTAGGTTGCTTTCATGTCCTGGCTATTGTTAATAGTGCTGTAATGAACATTGGGGTGCATGTATCTTTTTGAATTATGGTTTTCTCCAGGTATATGCCCAGGAGTGGGATTACTGAGTCAAATGTAGTTCTGTTTTTAGTTTTTTGAGGAATCTCCGTACTGTTCTCCATAGTGGTTGTGCCAATTTGCATTCCCACCAACAGTATAGGAGGGTTCCCTTTTCTCTACACACTATCCAGCGTTTATTGTTTGTAGGTTTTTTTGATAATGGCCATTCTGACCAGTGTGAGGTGATACCTCATTGTAGTTTTGATTTGCATTTTTCTAACAGTTAGTGTTGTTGAGCATCTTTTCATGTGCCTATTGGCCATCTGTATGTCTTCTCTGGAGAAATGTCTATCTAGGTCTTCCGCCCATTTTTTCTTTGGGCTGTTTGTTTTTTTGATATTGAGCTGCATGAGCTGTTTGTAGACTTTGGAGATTAACCCCTTGTCAGTTGCTTCATTTGCAAATATTTTCTCCCATTTTGAGGGTTATCTTTTCATTTTTTTAATGGTTTCCTTTGCTGTGCAAAAGCCTTTAAGTTTAATTAGGTCCCATTTGTTTATTTTTGTTTTTATTTTCATTACTCTAGGAGGTGGGTCAAAAAAGATCTTGCTGTGATTTATGTCAAAGAGTGTTCTGCCTATGTTTTCCTCTAAGAGCTTTATAGTGTCCGGTCTTACATTTAGGTCTTTAATCCATTTGGAGTTTATTTTTGTGTATGGTGTTAGGGAGTGTTCTAATTTTATTCTTTTACATGAAATTAAAAGACAATGCTGTCCAACATTGCCTATTTTAATGCTTACAAAAAATGTGATATTTATCTTTTTGTGAAAGATAAATTAATTATCTTCAACTTGAGAATAATAATTAATATCACAGTTTATTGTGGAGGGGAAAATATCTTTAAATGTATCATGAATGCAAGGCTTAAGTCAATGAAGGAGAATTTAACCAAGTGTCTTTGGGAACTCTAAGCCCTCTTAAATCGGCCATTTAACTGTATACATTTCTATATACTTGTCAACTGAAAGAAAGACACACAATATGAGAGTTGTGAGTGAGGTTTTATTGAGGGTCTTACTGAGGACTGTAGCTGGGAGATAGCCTCTCAGATAGCTCTGAGGAACTGCTCCAAAACCACAGGGGAGGAGCCAGTATATATATTAATTTTTTGGATGGGAAATACATGTAGTCAAGCATAAAAGATTACTGCTAATCACAAGGAACAGACATCTCAAGTTAATGATTTAAGTGCTTTTCTATGTATGGGAAGATGCAAGAATCTGGGGTCATTCAAATTCTTCCTTAGATATGAATCTTAACTGTCTAGGGACCATATATCTAAAACACAGAATGCTCCATCCTGTTTTTCTCTGTCCTGAATTCCCCTCTGGGGGCACTGTCAGTGGGTGACTGCAGTGGGTTGCAACTTAATCCTTGTAGAACTGGAATGTTGGGCAGTATTCTTTGTTTATGTATCCTTATGCTTATGCTATATACATATTTAGTTTATATAGTTTGTAAATTTTAGTTTTTTTTAATTAGGGCAACTTCAGTCTTTGGTTTTATAGTCTTTGAAGGTAGCAACCAGGCTTAGATTGTTGAGAAGTAGGTTTAGATATTCCAGCTGCTTCTGGTGGATGATCTTTGGGTTCCTCTCATATCAGAGTTTATAAACCTAAATATGGAAGAAAACCTTTTGATTTCTGTGATGCATGATCTGAAAAATGAATAAAATCAAGAATTTACATTTCAGGCATTTTAACAGTCTATAAATCATGTAATGTTGGGGAAAGCCTAGAATTGTTTTATATGGTTTTCAAGTAAAATTCAACAGATAGGCTATAATATACAGATCATAAAGTATTTGTACTGATTATATCAGAGTTTATTTTTTCTGTCGGTGATGTTCTGCTAATTAATATTGTCAGAATACTTCTAAGGAATATTAGCTAAACCGCCAGGAAGGAATATGTTATTAAGAACCTTATTTCTGAAATCTCTAGCAAACTTGACCCATCAGAGTTGGCTTTGGGGGACACTATTTATAACCAAAATTTAAAATATTTTATTGCTTTATAAAGATAATCTGAATTACTTTTCTTTTAAAATTTTCTTAAGTAATTAACATATTTGCCAGGTTTGACAGTCAAAAAATAAAAGTTGTATGTACAGTGAAGGATCTTTCTTCCCCTCCTGTCCCCTGGACACTCAGTGTCTATCCGCAGAGCCAAGCAGTGTTATTAATTTCTTGTGTCTTTTTAGAGATTCATTCTGTACACATATAAGCAAATATTATATGTAACATAATTTTCTTCTTTATGTATTTATAGACAAATATGAAAGTATCATATATTTCTGTTACATAAATTGTAGCACATTATACAAACAGTTTTGTACCTTGTTTTTTTCTCTTTATATGTTCTCAAGATCATTCCTTATCTGTACATAAAAAGTTTCCTTATTCTTTTTTTGGTGTGTGTGCAAATGTTACCGAACTGTCAAGAAACTGTGTAAATATTAAAGTGTATGCCTTGAAATAATTTTACATCCATGTAACAAATGCACAATTCAAGAAGCAGAAAATGGCTAAAGCCACAGAAATCCCTCTGTGTTACCTTCTAATCAT